GAAAATTTTATTGCAATATAAGATTATCAATAAATATTTCAGAGTGTTCATGGAAAAATTGCAATACATCAGAAAATGTAGTGAGTTATAAAAATAAAAGTTCTATTTTAGAGAAAAAAATTGTTGTGTTATTTTCACAACTATTGTAATGTTGTTTCACAAAAAATATTTATATAGAACTATCGAAAAATATTCATAAGTTTTGCAGTGCCATTTTTTTAAGAAATAATAATAATGTAGTATCAAAAAATAATTTGAAGTGCAGCTCAAGAAAAATACAATAAATGCAACTTACAAAAAATGTACTGTAGTTAATTACGAAGTTAATAAATTAGCTCTATTGTGTAGAATAATTTATTTTCTAATTATTACCATATTATTGGTTATTGAAAAAAAAACAATTAGTTTCACTCTAAAAACACTTAAATTTGGTATTTTTTCCAAAAAAATAAAATAAAAATACATTTAAAGAAATTTAAAAACGAAAAAGGGAGAATTTATCTAAAATAATCTCACCTTTCATTTATTTGCGAAAAACGGGCATTTTTCAAAATTTCCGTTAAGTGACCGTTAGTTTTTAAACAGCGACCCAAAACTCGCACATATGCGGAAAGGTGGTATTATTTCTGGTGAGAGTGAAAAGTAGGATTATTTTTGAAAGAGCACTAAAAGGTGGGATTATTTGAGATAATTTTTCAATCTTATATTGACATCAACTTCTACCATTCATAATTTCTAACCACATTTATTATTTAGGAAATTAAAACAATGCAACCCTCATATTTTGATGTCATAAATAGGGTTTTCTTTAAACTTAAAGTTCTAAGGCCCACCACACTTTCCCGGACTCGCATGGCTTGCTTGTTTTTATGTGATCTGGGTCTATATATAGTTAAAAGACACTTCCCCCCTCCCCCCTGCACCAGAAGCCAATCGCCTCTCATCAGTTCCCTTTGGGAGTTACAGGTTTTCTTCTAACCCAACTTATTTGTTCTATTCCTGTGGTCAAGAGTCCGCCAATTTTAGGGTATATGTCTCAGTTTTAGTCCATTTGTTGTTTCAATTGTGTATGTCGGAGCTGTGAGAACTGTAATGGAGAGGCATGTAGCCCAGCATGGTGCAAATGCTAGAGATAGATTCAGCCAACTTCCGGTAGAGATACTTGACCATATTATGGGATTCTTGCCTATTCGACAAGCGGCTAAGGTTGCAGTTGTGTCTAAGGTTTGGAGGGACGTGTGGTCCAGTCTCACGCTGTTGTGCTTCGATCATGGCTTCTTCCGTGTTGCTGGTAAGAAATCTTCAAAAGAGGCCCGCAAAGACATCAATGCACGCTCACGTTTCCACGTAATCACGCAAATTCTCTTGCAGCATAGGGGATCGATTCGGAAATTTGTTTGTTTCTATGCATTGGCGATGACAGAAATAGTTAGGTTTCCATCGCTTGACGTGGACGAGTGGTTGGTGTTAGTCACACGACAAGGTGTTGAAGAAATCCACCTCCATTTTGGGTGTAACAAATACAAGCTCCCGGGTTGCATATTTTCGTGCTCAACACTCAAGACATTAACGCCTCAACGGTTTCTCTATTGACCCACAAAATTCCCCATACACTTTACCGAATGCTACATCGCTCTGTTTTGATTATGCTGACTTTGGTACGGGGGATCTTTCAAACTATGCTGTTCATGTTCCAAGGCTGGAGAACCTGTCGTTTTCTTGGTGTCGGGATATGTTTCACTTTGGCATTACTGCAATAAATCTTACCAGTTTGACAATCTATGGCTGTTGTAGTAGCGAAACGGGCAAGTTTCTCCCGGACAACTTGGACTTGAAATCTATTTCCACTCTTGATATGGACTATTACAGTCTCAAGGTATATTATTTTAGCTACACTTTTTTCTTGGATTCTGATCTATATATGTATAGTGTCCTACCCCATACATTTGATGTGGTCTAACTTCATTTCCATATGATGATTTCTTAGGATTTTGTTGGCCAATATACTACAAAGGAACCCTCGCTACAAATGCCCGCACTAAACGTGGAACTACTCAAGCTATTGAATTTTTGTTCCCAGGATGATGATGAGTTAATCTCTGCATTTGTATGCTTGCTGTCTAATTGCCCAAAGTTATGCAATCTTGAGATTAGTTTGTCGGTAAATATATATATTTTTTTACTTCATTTTCGCAGTCAAAATATTGAGTAAAACCATGGTTAGGTCCCTGTTATGTTATGTGTCCCTTCACTCATTAATAACACTTCAAATGCTGACCTGTTGAGTTTTTCTTCCTCTCTTGTTGTGCGTTTATGTAGTGGGCAGGGAATATAAACAAGTGTATAGATGTCACATTTGGGAATTTGCGAAAATTCCGCAGTGTGCTACGAACACACAAAAGGCTTCTGTGTTTGAAGCTTCGCTCATTCAGAGGGTTGAGGCCCCAAATGCAGTTCGTTAAGGAGATGCTTGCCTGGCTTCCCGCGCTTGAAAAGGTTGTCATTATGTGTTTTCCGTATAAGTTTGATTGGAACAAGGAACTTGTAACTATGGAAGAAATTTCGCATTTTCCTCGTGCATCTGCGAATGCTAAAATTGTTTATCAATGAATGGAGATCTTTCCAAATTGTTTGTAGCTTAAATGTGTTTTTGGTCATTTATTTTTTTCAACACCAATTCATGTTGCAGCTGTTCATTACTGATATATCCAAAACTCTAGGAAGGTAAAATTTTTTTGGTATGTATGTGACTTTTGTATGAATAGATTAATGGCATTGACATGCCAAATGGATGGGCTTTTGAACCTAATGGAAGACAAAACTTGCTTTTGAGACACTTGATTAAAGGTGAATATTGTTGAGAGCTTTTCCGGTCGGTTCATATGTGCCGACTGTTTGTATATTTCTAGAGGGAGGAGTTCTTAAACCATACATTCAAATGAAGATTTTTGTTGTCTAGTGTTCCAAGTTCTTACTTGATTGTGTGTACCTCTAATTATTTTAGAGATGATTATTGGTTGTAGTGATTGATTTTTTTGGTGACTAGTGAAAGGCTTCAAGATTGTTTCTCCGATTTTGGATTTCCACATTAAATCTTGGTGTTTCTTTATCGTTTGATTGTTTATTCATTACGGTCTTTACTATTCTTGATCGATCATATAATTTTTCCTATTTTGACAACACACAAACAGAAATATTATTAATTGCTTCCACAAGAAACAACAACAACCTAATTAAATCCAACATGAGTAGGGTCTGGGGAGGGTGTGTCGCAAACCTTGCCCCTATTTGAAAGTAGAGAGGTTGTTTCCAAAGAGACCCTCAGCTCAACGTCGAAAGTTGCATTGCTTGACTAACTGCTACTTCATTAATTAGAGAAATGCAGACAATTTAGAGATCCACTTTGATTTATTCCATCACACACCAAAGCCAAAAAATAGTGAAATTTTGGCTCCATCGGAGATGATGAAAATTTTGGCTCCACAAGAAATTAAGTTGATTTTCCCAACACACACTTTACATATTTGTGTCAGTATAGATTTTTTTAACACTAATAATTGTATTACAATGTAGTGTCTTTTATTCATTTTCAGTCTATTAAAACAAAAGAATTAATGCTTAACTGTAGATTTTTTTAACACAATTTGTGATTTCTCATTTGTGACTTGTGAGAGTCATTCTGATATCACTACCCCATCATCTTCGCTTCTAATTCAGACCATTTCAGCTTTCCCCATTTCATTCTCATTCAAGGGTGCGAATCTCAGGCCTTAATTTTTATTCTTAAATATAACTTTTATAACATTCTATATAATTTTTTAAATTGAACTAAAATAAAATTTGAAATAAAAAACTGAAAATTAAAAAAATGAAATCACAAGAAGAAAGAAACAAAATAAAAAACTTAGATTAAAATCCAAAAAACTGAATTTAGAATAAAAAATTGAAATTAAAAACCAAAATAAAAAACTGAATTTAGAATACAATTTTTTTGTATTGTAATTTCTTTTGCGAATGATATTCTGAATAATTTTTAGATAATCCAATATTATATTTCCCCCTAGAACAGAAAATAAAATTTTGCAAATTATTAATGTATTTTTAAAAGAAATTGAGACTAATCTCTAACAACAGTGACCAGTGTACTGTTATATTTTTAAAAACACAATTTAAATTTAAAATTAAAAAAAGAAAAAAATAAATTTGTTTAAAATAATCTCATCTTTCATTTGTTTGCGAAAAAGATGTCTTTTCCAAAAAAAATCATTAGGTGGTTGTTAGATTTTTAAGGGAGATCCAAGACTTGCATATATGCAAAAAATGTGAAATTATTTTCGTTGATAATAAACAATGAACTTATTTAAAAAAAAAAAAGTAAAAAATGAGAGTAGTCTGAGTACATACTCTGCCCCGTCTGAGTAGAAGCTCAATCGTCTCTATCTTCTCCGTCCGGCATTTCCCGCGGGAGTTACAGGTTTTCTGCTAACCCAACTTATTTTTTTGCCGGAGCGTATGCTTAGTAAACGCCATAGATCCGATGATTGTAGAGTATTGTGGCGCCGTTAATTTCATGATTCTAATCATCCCTACACCGGACCCTTCCTGATTGATGCATGCTCAAATTGTGTGTCACAATTCCCAGTTTCTGCTGTACTATCTCTTCACGATTTCAACCCAAACCCCCTCCCGAGGCATTAGAAGAAGGTCTTTGAAAAAATTTGCTTTAATTATTCAATAAAGATAAGATTTGGTTACTTGGGTCGATCGGTTCAAGTCCGCCAATTTTAGGGTTATGTCTTAGTTTTAATCCATTTGTTCTTTCATTTGCATATGCCAGAGCTACCAGAAGTGTTATGGCGAGACGTGTAGTCCAACGTGGTGCAGCCGATATGGATCGAATCAGCCAACTCCCGGTAGAGATCCTCGACCATATTATGGGCCTCTTGCCTATTCAACAAGCTGCTAGAACTGCAGTTTTGTCTAAGGTTTGGAGAGATTTGTGGTCCAGTCTCACGCAGTTGTGCTTCGATAATCACTTCTTTAGCTATTTTAATAAGAAATATCGGCGGGCTAGTAAATACATCAAGACATCTTCATGTTTTTATGTAATCACTAAAGTTCTCTTGGAACACAAGGGATCTATCCGGAAATTTGTGTGTCTTCATTCAAAGGCTGGGACCCTAACAGTTAGGTCTCGATCATTTGACATGGATCAGTGGTTGTTGTTAGTCACACGACGAGGTGTGGAAGAAATCTACCTCCATTTCGGGCATAACGAATACAAGCTGCCGGATTGCATATTTTCATGCTCAACCCTTAGAACATTATATCTGGAAGGGTTCTCTATTGAACCGCAATGTTCTCCATGCACTCTACCAAATGTTACCTCACTTCATTTTGTACGTGTTGGATTTGGATCTAGAGATCTTTCAAACTATGTGGTTCATGTTCCTAGGCTCGAGAATCTGTCATTTATTCGGTGTAAGGATATGTTTCACTTTAACATTACTCCTAGAAATCTTTCCAGTTTGACAACCAAGGGCTGTTATAATAGCGAATCTGACAAGTTTCTCCCAGTCAACTTGGACTTGAAATCTATATGCACTCTTGATATGAACTGTTCCGATCTCCGGGTATTTTATTTTACCTAGACTTTTTTTTCCAGACTGTGATCTATTTATAGCATCTTACACCATACATTTGAAATGATCTAACTTCATTTCCATACGATTTCCTAGTATTTTCTTGGCCAATATACTACAAAGGGACTCTCTTTACAACCACCCGCACTAAATGTGGAACTACTCAAGCTCTCAAATTTTTGGTCTGGGGATGATGATGAGATTTCTGCATTTGTATGCTTGCTGTCTAATTGCCCAAAGTTATGCAATCTTGAAATACTTGTAAGTTTTTGGGTACATGTTATTTCCTTGATTTTTGATGGTCAGAATATTGAGTAAAATCATGGTTACGTCCTTGTTTTGCGTTCTTTCATTCAATTATGCTTCAAATGTTGTCTTGTTTTGCTTTCATGAAGTTGACAGGGGATTTAACAATGTGTATAGATGCTACATCAGGGCATTTGGAAAAATTCCGCAGGGTGCTACGAACAAAGAAACTACTTTCCTTTTTGAAGCTTAATGTATTCGAAGAGTTGGAGCCCCACATGCATTTCATTCAGGAGATGCTTGCCTGTCTTCCTGCACTTGAAAAGGTTGTCATTATACGTCCTTCGTATATGTCTGGTTTGAACGAGGAACATGAAACTATGGAAGAGATTTCGCATTTTCCGCGTGCATCCGCGAAAGCTAAAATTGTTTATCAATTAATGGAGGACCCTCCAATATGAAACATGTGTTTTGAACACTAATAACTCTATTATAATGTAGTATTACCTCATAGATTCTCAGCCTCTTAAAGCATATAGACTTACTGCTCTCATTATAAGTCGAACTTGTGATCTCTCATTTGAGAGAGTCATTGTGATGCTGCGGAACCACATTGTCACTACATATGTTTGTTGTTCTACACCAAATATTTAGGGTTTAGGGTTTAAGGTTTCTGTTTGGGTTTAGGGTTTCCGGCCCAACAGGTTATTTTATTTAGGCCTATGATGTCGTGTCCCACTCCACCTACAAAGGGAGCCTTCATGATAAGGGTCGGATCGACCAATCTAAGAGTCAGGATCAACCAATGTTAGAAGAAAGTACACAAACTAAAATGACATCTAAGCGAGGTAGACCCTTTTAGGGCGAGTCTAGAAACGTGGCTAGGTTTACGAGTCAATTAGCGATATTCAAAGTGATTGAGTCCTAGAATATAGGATTTCATAATCAAGGAAGGTTAATTGCAGCTTGTGCTTTCCAACCATAGCGTGTACTATGGAGATGATATCATTTTCTTGATAATTTAAGGCTACTATGCCTTGATCTCTCATAATTTTTTTACATTCATCTCAATAACCTACCTAATGTAAGTGTCTTTCATTGATGGTTGCAAACGTCTCAAGGCATTTTATGGTGGAGATCTTAGTTTTAGATTTATTTATCATTCTACTAATGAGATGGCACATTAATTAGCGCGTGCTATTCATTCTATAGTGGGTTTTGGGGAGTGGGTGAACTCACCTCCGGACTTTATTACTACTCTTTTATGATATCTTGGTTTTTTCAAAAAAAAAAAGAAATACCTACCCAATGTACCCAATGTGAATCTTTGATTGTTTTTTCCAAGGAAATTGAACGTTTTTTATGTCAACCGTATAAAGAAAGCTGAAAGCTCATATAAGGACAAAAGGGAGTAACTTTGATCAAATATGCTAAATGATGTAAACATACATTTGGGCAGAATGAGTAATATTTAATACTCTTTTCGTAACATGCAATTCCTTGACTTTAGTTTTAGAGTTAAACTCAGCATTTTTACGTAGTAAAAATTAATCTAAGAGTAGCTTTTAGTTTCAAAGTTTTAGGATTTTTTTGTACCATTAAAAAATTATCTAAAATACCTGAGCTAATTGTAAACATTGCTCTCTAGCATCACGCAAATTTAAATTATTTGTTATGGGGGTTCAAAAATCAAGTTCCGAAAACTACAGTTGTTACTGAACCAAGATGAGCTTAAGACTTATCAAGAGGCAGTGGCTTAATGCCATGGGATCCGAAATAAATTTCATATACACTAATTTAGTACTGATTTTGACACCCCCTTGTGTGCCCCTCACTCCTACAATGTGTACAAAATATTTTCTCTCGTTTGCCTTCTGCTTCTTGTCATCCTTCATGTCTTTGTCTTTAAACTTGTGTCTGGATCATCACAATGTTTACTTGACGATAGATGTTCAGGTGTAGTCGAGATCGATTGTGTTTCAAGATCACCCGTTTCATGTCTCCTCCCCTAGAAACCCAGATTTCAATCAAATTTCTTTTACTGGCTAGAGAGGATATCCAAGATTGTTACAAGAGAAAGCATAATCAAGCTTGGTAATGAGAGCCTTTAGATTTTACCTCCTCCATTCTTGAATTTCACAAAATCACAACATTTCTATTTTGAGCAATAAAAATCCCAAAATGACTGCAACACCCCTGCTTTACCAAAACCCATTCAAATAAAATGCAAGCATTCATCGTTCATTTTCCTCTCTCGTTGTCACCGAAGGAAAAAAAAAACTTTCCTCAATTTTTCATGGCAAAGCCAATGTTGCAACCTTTCAAGAACGGACAAAGTAGTAGTATTACAGTATGTACGATGAGAACTAGAGTGAAATCTTACCAACGCACATCAGCGAACGCGTCACCAGAAATCACCACACGAGCATTTTCCATCTTTGAACAAATGGAACCTAACAGAATCTCTCACTAAAATTTCCCTTCCAGTGATCCTGGAAATGATTTTAGTTGCATTGTGACAATCAAGACACACCCTGAGATTCTTAACCACCTTTATGGGGAGCCCGGGAGGGACGAATATCAACCCAAAGGCAATAGCGAGCTTCTCGCTATGGTGGTTTAGCATCTTCACCTTCTCAGAGTCTTCAACATTATGCTGGACAGAGCTCACATCTGGAATATAACCATCCTCTATCATTCTCCTGTACAATGATTCGAGCTCTGCATATATCTTATCTGAATATGGGCTCGACTTATCATCAGCTGAGAAAACATGGAGCTTGTTCTTATACTTGATCCAACTGAACCCAGGTTCCTTTTTCACACCTCTATCTCTCATCAACTTCCTCAACCTAGCCACTTCATCCCACTCTCCTCTAGCCGCATTCAAGCTTATAAGCAAAACATAGCTGCCAGGATTCTGTGGTTCTGCTTGCAAAAGAGACTCTGCTGCCCATTTCCCAAGCTCCATATTGCCACGAGTTCTGCATGAGCTTAGGAGTGTTGCCCAACCGATTGCATCAGGTTCATAAGGCATCTTTTCTATGAAGTGTTTCGCTTCTTCAAGCTGTCCAGATCGGCTTAATAGGTCAATCATGCAAGTGTAGTGATCAAGAGTAGGTGTGATTTTATGGTCTCTTACCATTGAATCGAAATAATACTTCCCTTTATCTACTAGTCCTGCCCTACTGCAAGCAGCAAGAACCCCAACAAAAGTTACTCCGTCAGGTTGCAGGCGTTGTGTGAGCATTTTCTCAAAGAGGTCAATCGTTTCGGTGGCTTTTCCAAATTGAGCATACCCAGAAACCAATGCAGTCCAAGAGATCTCGTCTGCAAATTCTATCTCACAGAACAGTTTATGGGACTCATCTATGCTTCCACACTTACCATATAGGGTCACGAGTGCATTGGAAACCGTGATGAAGGAAATCAAGCCAGACACTAATGCTTGGCAGTGGAATTGGGCACCTTCTTCTGAGCTTGCCAGGTTAGCACAAGAACTAATGACACTTCCTAAAGTAAATTCATCTGCCTTTACCATATTCTTTTGCATCTCACAAAAGGTTTGAACAGCTTCTTCACTGTACCCATTTTGGCCATAACCAACTACCATTGCCGTCCAAGATACAACATTTTTTCTCTTCATGTTTCTGAAGACATTCTCTGCATACTTAATGTTTCTGCACTTGGAATACATATCAACAAGCGCACTACCCACGAAAATGTTGTCCATATGATAACTTCTGATTGCATGAGTATGAATCTGTTTTCCTTGTTCCAAGGCCATCACACTTCCACATGCCGTCAAAATGCTCCCAAAAGTAAACTGGTCAATGTCAAAATTTTGCAGTCTCATTTCTCTGAGAAAATCTAAAGCTCTTATATTTAGACCATTCTGTGTTAGACCGGTAATCATTGTTGTCCATGTTATAGAATCTCTCTCTGGCAAACACATAAACAACCTTTCTGACTCTTTCACCATCCCACACCTCAGAAACCCCATAATCATCGTGTTAGACAAAACCAAATTCTTTTCGGGCAACTCTTCAAAAACCCGTTTTGCCTCCCGGATTAATCCGAATTTCGCATACATATCCGTCAAGGGACTCCCCACAAAAACATACAACTCAAACCCACACTTCACTATCTGTCCGTGAATTTGCCTGCCCAGTTGGATCCAACCATTGCTCAAACACAATATAATCATTGTCGAAAATGTGATTCTGTTTAGATTCATCCTCTCATCCCTCAACATCAATTCATAAGCCCTTACAGCTTTACCAGCAGACCCGTGGGAGGCATAACCAGAAATGATCAAATTCCAAGAAACTCCATCTTTCTTAGGGATCAAGTGAAATACTTCCTCCATTTTCATGAAGTCCCCAGATTTGGAGTATGTGGAGAGGATGGTATTCCAAGAAAACTGGTTTGGCCTGGGAATTTGATCGAACACATGGCGGGCGTAAACGAAATTTCCAATCTTGCTGTATGTATTGATAAGATTGTTCAGCAAGAAAGTCTCTATGCTCGAGATGGTTTTGATTATCCGGCAGTGGAGCTTCTTTACTTGAGCATGGCTTTGGGTCTCGCAGCAAAGTTTCAAAAGGGAACAGTAATGGTTAGAAATGTGAGACATCCCGCCTCAAATGCACATCTTTCTGTGGCGGGAAGAATTAGAGCATCTCAATTCTCAAAAAGTTTTTTTTTCCTTCTTCACTCCAAGGTTGTAAACTTTTAGTTTTATACGAGAAAAGTGGGAACTATGAATGCAAAATTTAAAAAAAAAAAACAAAAACAAAAAATCACCAATAGAATATTTTTGAAATTTTTTCTCTAATCTATCCATAAATTTTACAGTATTTATGTGTCTATTTTCATTTATTATTTGACATTGCTTTAAAATATTTTTGTTTTGTTAAAAAAATTTTGACGTTACTTTTTAATACTTCATCTGTACAAAAAAAATCTTACCGTCCATTATTCATAGTATCAATCTTAATTTATTTTTTTTCCTTTTACAAATTCTTTTAATTCTGCTTCAATTGTCCAATAAATTGTATTAAAAATAATTTTCAATCAAATACCGTAAATCAAAACATGCAATTTAAATTGAAAAAAAGTGAGTACATCTTTTGATGTATTCTTTAAATATATAATTTTTATTTGTAAATTTCACGCCAAATTCAGAGAATTAAAAATGAACTAAAAATAATTTCTTTGGGCCTGGCTCTTATTCCACCAGACTTCAATTGACACATAAATAGTTCCTCGGTTCTAAACCCTAACCCTATAAATTTTAAGGGTTAATCTTTAACTCTTCTCAATCCGCACCGAGTAGCCCTTTGCAGCCGTGAGCTCGTGGCTGGACAGAAGATTCGAGCAAAGGTAAAAAGGTGCAAAATTCACTGTTTTTGGCTATTTTGTTTGGCTGGCCTTCAGCTTCGTGTTCAGCTTTGATCTGTCAAAAACAAACATTTCAACAAATCCTTCATCGATTTCGTTATCGCATTTGGATATTTATTTTGACAGTACGAATTTTCGGAATTTCCGATCTGTTTCCGGTCCGAGCAATGTGATGAGGTGATAGATCTCTGAATTTCTCTATGTGGAATTAAACCAGATCATTTACCTTCAAAGTTCTCTGATTGCTTTTTGGCCAGAATTCGAGTTTAAAAAACAATGAATCTTCAGAAATTTGTTTTTGGAAATGAACAGTTTTGATTTAGGCAATGGTTGCACCAAAGAAATATGGCCTGTTTTGTATGTCTTCCTTTCAGGTCACACGAGCATGGTGCCACATTAAAGTCTTCTTTCACATTGATTTGCCAATTGAACTTTTTTTCTAGCATCATTTGGCAGCTACTTTGTGCATTTTAGAAGTACATCTTGTTGAAGTCTTCAATTTTGTGACCATTTTTTTGTGTACTTTTTAATGTTCAAGGATAAATCGTGTAATTTTCTAAGAGTTTTGGGTTAATTGTGCACTTTTTTTAAGTTTAGGGGTAAATCGTATAATTTCTGAAGAGGTTAGAGTAAATGGTGTACTTTTCTATCTACTAATCATCTCCCCAAATGGCAAGCTTTGATGTCCAAAAATGGTCTTCCCACTCCATTTTTTACATTTGAAATGTCATAGTTATCTTCACTCTCCTAATTTACCCACCTCATTTAGTGAATCACTTGCCCTACCAGTAAGGGGGAATTGAATATTTTTCATTGATTTTTAACATCAATTATGTATAAAGTCAATTGGGAGAAAATAATTTTTCAGGCAGGGACTCGAGAAACAATTCTGCTGGGGAAGGACAATGTCAGATGAGATCCTAATCATTGACCATTTAAAAAATTTGTGCAAGAACGAAGAACTAACTATTTTAGAATACAACATTTTTTTGTGTTGGTTTTACTCTTACCATCTGTTTGTTCATTTTGTGCTTTGCACTAATGTTTTTTTCAATTTAATCTGATTACTCTCTACTTATTACTCTGTATAATTTTTTATTGGAATTAGATCAATTATGATCATACTATATTAGATCATATATAATTTTAAATATAGTTATATTTTTGTAAGACCAAATAAAATTAAAATTGATTTTAATCATATTATAATTATTTATATCAAGTGAAGAGAACATGTTCTAACTAGATTAGTAGAAAGAATTGCATAGAAGTGATCATAATATTTGAACTCCAATTTAGATAATGATATTTGCGCTCCTATCATTTGTACTTCAATTTATGCTAGGTAATCCAATACGGACTTACGGAGTATTCATTTTTCTCATGGTTAGAAATGGTTTATACTATCACAATGTGTTCGTGCAATTAAACAAATTTGTATTGGCATTTTGTACTGATAATTTTGTACCATTGTGAATTATTAAAATGTTAGTCACGTCTATGATTACAATTTAGTGCACAATTTCTAGTTTACAAATACGGAGTAATTTTATTCACGCTTCAGCTCAAGAAGAATTCTTTCGCCTGTAATCTATTGATGTTGCTGCATCTACGTTTGCATGCCATCCCTCGTGGATGTGGATTATTTTTATTTACTTTTTTTTGTAATTTTTTGAAAATGCAACTTGTTATAGGGACAATAATTTGAATAAAAAGAATTTATTTATTATATAAAAATAAATATATAAATAAATAGTGATGTTGAATTCATGAAAATGCATGAGAGAAGAATGAATATGATAGTGTTGAATATAAAAATTATTTCTGTAAATGATGAAGAAAAAATTGATATGACATTGATTAAGGTAGTTTTTTGTTTAACTTATTTTTTCTATTTAAGGATTACTATTTATTCTTATTATAATTAGATTAGAATATTTTTTATTATAATTGCAATCAAATCTAACTAGATCAAATTAATTTTTAAAAAATCAGATGAACACAACCTAAGCCTACATATGTCAGAAAGATGACTTTTGAATTCATGAAAATGCGGAGAGAAAAATGAATATGTTATAAAATGAGAGAAAAATTACTCAAAGATTATGAGAATGGATATAATATATTTCTGATTTCTTCTCTCTATTAACTCTTCACTCTTCTTATTGTACTTCATGGTCATTACAATGCAGGGATTAAGCCTCTATTTATAGTGGAGAGGCTTAGTATGAATACAAATACAAGTGGGAATGACTGTACTAAATTGAACCTCATCAATGAGTGTCTTAATCTACTATTCTGGAAATTATGTCTGATTAATTGAATAAATGAACAATCATTAATTTCATAACACTTCCCCTTGAATGTTCATTTTCAATTAATGATGGGTACTTCGTGAAATGAGTATAGTTTAGGAACCCATTCTAATTTTATGTACTGCCTCGTTAAAAACCTTGTCAGGAAAAACCCAGTGGGATAAAAACCTGATCAAGGGAAAAAGAGTACAGTTCATAAAATTCTCTCCCTCAGCTTAGCATAATTGACGGAGGCGACGCATGCCAATCTTTTGTAAATAAATCAGCGAGATTCTCACTGGACTTGATTAGCTTGATGTCAACTTTTCCATCTTTCTCGAGATCATGTGTTGAGAAGAACTTTGGTGATATATGCTTTGTTCGGTCTCCTTTGATGTAACCTCCTTTCACTTGAGCAATGCATGCAGTATTGTCTTCATATATAGGAGTCGGATGACTAGAAATTGTTTCTATACCGCACCCACTCTGGATATGTTGGATCATTGATCGCAACCATACACATTCTCTACCTGTTTCGTAGAGAGCTAT